TTAACAGAAACTTTTATTCCTTCGACCAAATCATCTCTGGGGACGAAAGCTGTAACGTGGATATTTAATCGATGAACAGCAGTGCAAATCATTCCAGCTCCGTAGCTGGCACCAGTGGATGTGCTAATACCCCTGAAGTGCTCCTTAATCCATCCTGTCACCATAACGGAACCGCGAGCAGCATAAATATTTTCCATTTCAATTGACTCGTAATGAATGGTTTTGTTCGTTTTCTCAGTAGCACCATTTGCTACGTCAAACTGTCCCAAAACTTCTAATTCACTTCCAGGTCCAATATTGAAACTCATTCTCACAGACGGTGTCTCCAGATGTGCGGAATCGAGGGTTAGAAGCTCTGATTATTCCACCAGTTATCTTCAAAACCTATTAAAAAAAGAAGTGAATGATTTTCTGTCGATTGTTGATCATAGCGAATGTTCAATGGAAAAAAGCTGTGCATTTTCTACATTTAATTAAAAAAAAAATTCCAATGAAAAATTTTTTTTCTCCAAATTTAATTTAATTCAATTTATGTTCCTTTTTATTTGGTAATAAAATGAAACTATTAACACTGAATTTACCTGGTACATGAGAATCTCTTTGTTGAATTTCATGCGTCATCCCCCCAGAAGAGAAGGCGAATTCTTCGACCAGCGTTGTTATTAATAATTCATTTACAAAGCCATTTTGATGGTGAATTCGGCAATTCTTTCAACCCTTCCAGAGTATCAACATACCCAGAGATTTTCCTACAACAATAACTTTAAAGGTTAAGAACCACTTGGAAAATTGATTAAATTATTATATTTAATTATATATATTTTCGATAAATACTTACATCAACGTAGCTCCTGGGTTGAAATGATCAATCGCCTTGTTGGAAGTACACTTGAAATTCATGGATGGCATTGTTTTTTAGCGATTACTTTTCACTTTTTCAATAACAAAAAGACGGTACAACGTGGTGACTCCGTTGCACAATAGTTCAGAGCGGAAGACGGAACTATTGGATATGACATGATCACGTGATCATCAAAAAGATATATTGGGACATAAAAACGACAGATGTCGTTTCGGCGTCAATTCTATGGTATTTTATTTTAATTCTTACGCTTAGACATCCTACGGTCATTTGAGATATTTCGAGAATTTCGAGATATTTCGGGATATTTCGAGATCGATTCCCTTTTTCTTTTTATATTAGGAACTTCAAAGATATATACAATCTTAGAATCTGCAGGAATGGTATGTATGTCTATAATTTTATGAGTCCATTCGAATGCTGCATAGCCCTGGCGGATCGGTCGGTTGTAAGAATCGAGTGATTCGGATAGTCGATTGCTATTTGATCGCTGGTCGATTGTGAGGTCGAGTGGGTAGCTCAAACGATCTGCAATCGAGTTCCTCCGAAATCGATTGAGAATCGATTCAAACTCAAAGTGTTTTAGAATCGAATTGTTATCGACTTGTCGCTAAGTCGATTGCAAATAGATTATGAGGAGATTTT